GAAAGGTTTTTGTTCGAGGTATTGACGATTTGTGGCAAGTCGACTTGATAGAAATGATACCTTACTCAAAAGCGAATAAAGGGAAAAAGTATATCCTAATGATAATTGATGTTCTTTCAAAGTATGCATGGGCGGTTCCTTTAGACAACAAAAAAGGGAAGACAGTGGCCTCAGCTATGGAAAATGTTTTGAAAAATAGCGGAAGAATACCACAAAACATTCAAAGTGATCTTGGTACAGATTTTTATAATAAAGAATTTAAATCCTTAATGCAACGTTTTGCGATAAATCATTTCAGTACATTCACCCATTTGAAGGCCTCTGTGGTAGAAAGGCTGAATAAAACGATTAAAAATTGGATGTATAAGGAATTTGCTGTACAGGGAGATTATAGGTGGCTAGACATGCTTCCTCGTTTAATTTCCATGTACAATTCAAGGCTACATCGGACAACAGGCATGAGACCACGAGATGTTACATCGTTTCACGAGAGGGCATTGGTGAGGAAATTAAATCAAAACAAGGTACAAGGGATTCCAAAGCTAAGAGTCAATGATAAAGTCAGGGTTTCTAAGTATAAAACTTTGTTTGAAAAAGGTTACACCCCAAACTGGAGTACTGAATTATTTAAAATCATACGAGTGCGAAAATCTGTCCCACCAGTGTACTACCTGCAAGATGAAGAAGGGGACATTATCAAAGGGGCATTTTACGAACCAGAATTACAAAAGACAAATTACCCAGATACGTATTTGGTTGAAAAGGTTATAAAGCGCAAAGGAAACAAGATTTATGTCAAATGGCTTGGGTTTCCCTCACGCTACAACTCGTGGGCTTAAATAGTATATTAACCTGTTTCTCCCATCATTCTGGATTAGATCTTGTTATTGTAAACATATATTGTACAAGCTATGATTAGAAGACACATTATAGATAAGTTTGGACATGCTTTGTATCGAGAACAGAAGTATCACTTATCTGATGACGAAGATGATGCATATGTGATAAGTGAAGATGGATCAAAGAGGTTTAGAGCTGCAGTGGAACCTGACGTATCACGACAAAAGGTGTCTAAAGGCTATTTAAATCGTTTCTATGTGAACAAAGACGATTTGAATGAGGTGGAAGGAAAGTTAAAGACCTTTGTTGTTAGCCTCAAAGAGGCCCAGCAAGCAGTTAAGGATGTAAAACAATCAATAGTCTCCATAGAGGGTTCTATCAAGACCGAGCTAAAAGACATAAAGGAGAGTCAGTTATCCTATCACGATAGACTAAACAACTTAGAAGAATCAGATGGGAAATCATCACAATTAATTGCTTCCTTGGATAACAAACTAATAAAGCTAGTTGAATCAGACGAGAAAACGTCTGCATCTTTATTATCTTTGGATGATAAGCTCAAGAAGCTGAAAGACTCGGATGAAAAAACGTCTACACATTTGTTATCTTTGGATAGAAATGTCAAAAAGCTGTTTGAATCAGATGAGAAAACGTCTGCATCTTTAGTATCTTTGGGTGATAAGCTCAATAAGCTACAAGACTCGGATGAGAAAGTTTCTACATCTTTGATGTCTTTGGATAAAAGATTCAAGAAGCTACATGATTCAGACGGGAAACAATCTAAATCGCTAGTATCCTTAGATGGAGAGGTAAAGAAGCTGCAAGAATCAGATGAGAAAACATCAAAATTATTAAGGACCATTGATGAAAGGCTAAACACGTTGGATAAATCAGATGCCGAAACTTTAAAATTTTTTGCAACTATTGATAGAAAGCTCACTGCATTACTTACGACAACAGGATTATCTATCTCTTAAAATTTCTAGCATGTATAAATAAATGGAAACCTGTCTAGACTTGTTGTCAAAGCCTTCTTTATACAACAACGTTATGTAATCGCAAAAAAGAAAGAGATCCAAGAGGTTCAATGGATTTGTCCTTGGCGCTCAGCATCCGCCTCGTAAGGTCAATGATCGTACTAAGACCTGTCCAGACCTGCAAATACACTGCATATAAAACCTAGAACTGGTTTGCTGGTTCAGTCAGTATGAACGCGTCAGTGAAGCGGTCGGCACCAGTTCCACGTAAAGATCTATCGCGAGTGAAACGCAAACGTACTAAAGCTCCCCCTATACCCCCAGTGCATAACGTAATATACTCAGATGTAAATACTATGGACATTGACCAGCTTCTTGCATCTCTAACTGGTGAGACTCTACAAGACGTATCTGATTCTGTACACACAACAGCAGGTGCAAGTGCGATCCAAGCGAATTACTATACCCGCGAGTGTTCAACAGTTTGCAGTGAAAATGGTAATGCAGTGGAAGAGGATGAGGATTACGATTCAAAGGAAGTGGAAGAGTATCGACCGGAACAGCCGTCAATCGTACAACAGAAAATACCAGCCCACTCCAATTCGGCAAAATCTGGCACACGCGCCAGGTCGAGCCAGGTTTTTCGTCAGAAAGGTCATCAAGAAAAACTTCATGCCTCGATTTTGCCATCACTGTCATCACAACTGCCACCAACGCCGCCGCCACCACCACCACCACCTCAACGTTCGCAACAACTATTATCAAATACATCAGCACCTAAGCTATCTACGTCGCCGACCACACTATCGACTTCACCTCCAGTGTCATACGTGTGTTCTTCTTCGACGTCTACTTCAACACCTGTGATGACAACATCTGTGGTGAGTCACTCTCATAGTTCACACAAAGCAGCTGTGCGTTCTAACCAGCAGTCTAACTCATGGGAACCACGTCTTTTACTCAGACAGATTTACAAAGTTGCAAGCCAGGCTCATGCGGTTGTTGGTCTTGATTCTATTAAAGACTTTTCTCCTTCTATTTGTTTAGTGAATAATGAAACCTCAATTGAATTGACATTTGAAGATCTTTTAAGTCTGCAAAGCTCTACAGTTCACCACTCTGTCAACAACTTTTACTCCAATGAAACTCCATTCAATCCATTCTATCTACATACAGTCATATTGGAACCCAGACCAAATGGATTAGTATCATTTTGTAACTATCGTCTGAGAAATAAGCCAGTTAATCACAATTTGAATTCTGTTACGCTTTCGAGAGCTTCTAGTGAATCTGATATTATTCGACAGACTCCCAGAGTGGTTCTACAAAATGATGGATGGATTTCTTTAAAACGCTTGTTCCCGTCCCTTGAAAGCTACTTTAATATCCTACTTGAAATAAACCCAACTGTGCAGTTTCTGATCTCTCGTTACACACGATATTTTACCAAACACTATAAGGTAATGGCCTTGCTTTCTTCAAACACTACAAATGACTTGACTTCAATGACTTTGGATAAACAACTCGTTCGACACATTACAAGTGATTTGCCACGTTTACTTTCTGACTTGAATGAAAGGAGGTTGCCTGCAGAGACTCAAGATTTTTGGTATGAACGGACTGCACTCAGGACATCAATGATGCCGTGGATAGACAGTGAGGTACGCCGCTTTTGTGCAGCAAACATTACCGAAGCTGTGATGGAGAACTTAAAATACTTGTCAAAATGGTAAAGAGAAAATTGCTGTATTCAATGTATCTTATGGTAATATATTTGTATTACAAACTGTGATTTTCTTTATTTGTTTACCCTTTCCTTCAGCAAAGCTAGCAACAACACAGTAGAGGATTGACTTTACTTTTCTTAGCATCCATAGCAATAATACTTTTTAAAGTAATTTTTCAGAGGGTGTTTGGAAAACTTTTAAATAATGGGTTTAGCAACAAACAAAGAAGTCAAGTTTAACATAAGTTTATTTGAAAGATAAATGCTATATAGATAACACCAACATAACAGGTAACCATAAACATTTTAGATGTGTTTATTATATACAACTCTAGCGTTACATAAATGTGTTAAGATTAGTAAACATATAATAGCAAAACAAATACAGATAGAAAAAGGTTGTTAGTACATTACAAAATATTCATAAAATGTGCACAATAATATACATATGTTAAATATCATAATGCTAAGCATTATCTTACTTTGTTATATCATGTTATTAAGTTATATTTTAGCTATATACTACTAGAATTCAGTTCTCAAGTAGATAAACAACTCTTATAGAGTATAGACAACAAAAAGGCATGAGTTCATCAAATTATTTTACAATAGCTAGGGTTTACAATAAAACATAATATAATATAAACAGAAACGCAAAACAAACAAAGTAAACGTGAAATTGTATGGTTAAAAAACAAAACTTGACCAACAGCCACATTGTTCAAATATGCTGGACTAGCGTATGTCACTCTCTATATGGATCATAAAGTTCTGTACGGTTAAACATTGTCACTGGAGATGCGGGGCTGTCTTCATCACTATCATGTAACATGTTGTTATTGTCTCTACAGTCAAAGTAGTTTAGAAATGTAAACAATGGTCGAAATACACAGTAGTCACACCAGTTATTTTCTTGTTTAACCACTGCATCAATTAGCCTGTTAGAGTTAACTTCAAAATGCTGTACAACATGTACAAATGCCAACCCCTTTTCGTGCCAATAACTTTGATAGTCAATATCATTATCGTCTTTTAGTGTAAAAAGGTTAAAAAAGCAGCCTCGACAATACTTCATAGGACGTTCTGTTTGTATTGTTTCATAGTAGTCCACATTTATATGACAATTATTACCATAGTAATTTCGACTCCAAAACTCTGGTTCCTCCAGAGGATGGTTCATGAGCATGACAAACTGATAACTATCAATTTGCATAAAGTCAATATCTCTAAACTCATAACTTTTTATTAAATCTCTGTTGACTGTTGTAGTTTTTATCCAAGTCCGTTTAATAGAGCTTCTCAACTCCGTGTGCATGAGGGAAGGGAGTATCGAAAACATTTCGATATCCTCGATTCTTTCATATTCTTTTTCATATGGAATAGTACGGGCAACGGCATCCATGCTCAATGAATACAACATTCTGACTACTCCTAAAGAGTGCTGATCAACCATCGAGCTAAGACTGACTAGAATCATATTCTGACGATCCTCCATCGTCATTTTGACGAGCTCGATAATGCCCATACGCCAAAGTTCTAATTTTGTCCTGCAACACTATGCGTTTGTTATCATTGGCTGACAGAGATAGTTTATCAACTGTTCTAGAGGTGAGTTGAAATGTCTTGCTTCTTATCTGGTTAAATGTCGCTCTGTACTGTTTATCTTCAAACAGTGCCTTCTTGTAGTGATCAAATGAAATTTTGTTTTCGACATAGCGTTTGCTTATTCCCTTACACTTTTTCTTTGCCGTTGTCTGTTGGCTGGAGTTGAACCTGTAGCAGTACATTTTACAACGCAATCCTACGTACTCAAATAGCTGTCTTCCTTTGCATTCATCCTTAAATGTGCCTATTTGAGGAATCGCTCCTTCCAGCCACAGCTCATGCTCCTTGGGATAGCATGACCTATCCAGTACATCTCCCAATCTTTCCTTCAATTCATTATTTAGGTTTAACTTGGTAATTATGGTATATAATAGAGAATCAGTATCAGAATAGTTAACATACACTTCAAAGTCTGGCGGAGCTAGTTTTTTCTTCATAACCATATAATGAAACCAGTTCATATGAACTTTTGCTTTGTCGAGAACTACTGAACCAACATAGACTGGCTTGTTTAATACTACCTTTTGTCTTCTTAAATGTACCGCGATCACACCATCAGCGATAATGCTTCTATCAACAAATCTTGCTTGACGTGACAGCTTCTGGAACGCTTCATCAGAAGTTACTATTCTAATATCTACACGATTGCGCACGTTTTCTAACGTCTTTCCAAACACACTATTATTCATAAACTTGTAGAAATTTTTGGAAAACTCATTCGTAGATTCAGCTCTTAACGTGGTGTTTTTGTCGATGAACTTTTCCATCCACGGCGACTGGGAGAATCGCAACGCTCTGTGAACTTTTGTAATTTTCAAGCCTAGTTTGACTGCCTGCTGGAACACTGTATAGTGAGCGATATAGTGTTTTTTATCTTCAAGCGTAGCAAGTAGTTTTCCCTGATTATCCACATCTTTTTGTTCTGGTAGAATGGGGAAGTCGTTCATTAGATCGTGCAAGTGCTCTGGCACTGTGACATCACATTCTAGTAAAAGTCCATACGGCGAATCTTCAGGTAAGTTTGACCAATTAAGATCATCAACATCATTTACAAACTCAAAATTTCCAGTTGGAAGGTGTTTTTTCATTTGGCTTCCATACAAGTTTATGCAGTCCAAATACAACATGTATTTGGTTTCTTTGTTTGGATCATAGTCTTCGCTGTTCTCTAAAAGTGGGTTGTTGGCTTTTTCATAGCGGTGGCAGCATTGTACCAAACCGCCTCTAATCGCACTTTCAAACATTAAGAAATGGTCATAGTTCGTCAACAATTCCAAAGTTACACCAGTCATACGTAGCATACTCTGCCATGCTAGACCTGGCGCTGTAAATGAATGACAACAGTCAATGTTATAGGTGGCTACACAGTTTTTGCGAAAGCATTGAATTATGTCCATTAAAAGACAAACATCCAATAACAGATAAAAATCATGGTATTGTCCAAAATTTTTCATTTTCATTGTATTCCAAGTGTGTTGGGCATGTTGATATTCTGCATCCGTAACTTCCGAGTCATTGAGGGCATTGTAAAAGCTTTCACGTGGTGGCAGTGCTTCCTCACTGAATACAGCAAAGTCTTTTACATAATCATAGGGATAAATCCCTTTTCTTTGAATCAACTCCACATGCTGTTCTGGCACAAGTTTGGACGACTCTACGAGTTCCGTCGGTGTGAGATACGAAGCGAGATTCGCAAGGCTGTCCGCCATTAGGCGAAATGAATCCAAAAACCTAAGCCACATCCTCCCAATCTTTATCGATATACTGATGAATCTTTCTGAATTACTAGGGATCACTTTTATTTCGCTGTTGGGTAATACTGCCAAGTTCTTAATAATGAATGCTTCGTCGTATGAAGAAAGGTTGTGAAAGTATATTGGTATGAAGTTTGGAAGTTGACAGCGGGTGTTACACAACGAGCACAGGGTATAACGAAACTGACCTGTTATATGGTCGTGGTCCCGGCATTTCCTTGACTGAACCAATGTCTCATCAAATGCTATTTCACACAGCTCGCAGTTTGTCGCTTCATCATGCTGTTTCTGTTGTTCATCATTTAATGCAATCATGCTCACATTTTTAGTGTACAGCTTTTCCACTTTTACAGCTAGCTCCTGCATTTGTAAAAGGAATTCTTTTGCAGCCGATTCCGATCTGTGTATGTAGGGTGAGGTGTTTATCTCAGCTTCCTCTAACAGCTCTTTGGGAAGGTTACTTGCTATGATATAAGCAAACGAGTTCGCCTCGTGCCGTTGATAGGCATTGTCTGTCGAGGGAACTGGATATAGTGTTGATTCGAAGTCAGCTGTGACTACAATTGGTACTTCAATTTGCATCTCGTAGCTAACAAATCTAAGTTTGCTTTTATGCTGCTCCGGCAAAATCACTTCACTTGGTTTTGATTTTCCACAGAGCATTAAATGTTCACTCAACCAGTGCTGAGGTGTCGGAACACAGCGCCTGTTTTCTTTAAAGGTGCTACACCTTTTACAGATTGTAATTTTGTTGCTGCCTTTTGTAATTTGTGGCTGCATAAGCTTTGTGAAATTCAATATTAACGTAAAATGAGCCTCTCCTTCATCATTTCTAACGAGAAGGAGATCAAAATGGTCTTGCTGCTCATCAACTATCCTGAGTGGTGTAATATGGGCATTTTCGTCCAGTTCGAAGATGTTTACGCTAGTGTTGATGTTTTGTTTTTCAAATTTTTTCATTTGTGAAATGGGCGTTGGAAATGAAATACCATCAAAGTTGTAATGTGTTTCACACTCCCTAAAGCTATGCTCAGTAAGCACTGAGTCATAACGTATATTAGGTAGACTTTTGGCTAATATACAATACATGAAACAACAATCATTGCTGTTTTTTACATTTAAAATGCATTTCCTTTTAGCAATTTTTGGGGGCAGTGGCAGATAGCCACTTCCAGCAGGCAATGCATATGAAAATTTGCTTAGTCTAAGTGTGAGGCTCTTTACCTCATGCAAAGTCTATCCACTGCCTTTCGCCTGCGCTTCAGACTCCTCACGAAGCAGTTTGCTGGCGTCCTTCTTCAGCAGCTCTTGTAGCTCATCACAGGCGCTGTGTATAAGCCTCGACGTGGTCTTGAAGTTCATAAGTTCGCAATGTCCTTCAGGATGGCAGTAGACGGCCTCCAGTACGACGTTGTACTTGAGGGATTTGGTGACACGCAGCTCATCTTGTAGTATATCGAGCACCACTTCGTTAGCAGCTTCAATAAATGGCGGTAGGTCCTTGTAGAGGTTTTCATTATTTTCTATAACATAGTCTTTGGCTGATTGAAGACCTTTTTTTAAATACCACGTCAGCCTTGTTGTTGAACTTGTATGTGATGATGGACTTGACAATACACTAGTCACAGGACGCTTAGTCACCTTTGGAGGTGGTAGTTTTCTTTTCAAGCCACTGCCACTGGGTACTGCTTTAATTTGCTGTGGAGGTGTCTGAATTGCTGCCTCGTGTGTCTCTCGTCTGTTGTCATTGTTGCTCGCTACTGCTGATGTGAAGTAGTCGTTCAACGCCAAACACATTTGCTGGTGACGGCTCCTTGCGGATGCACTAAGGAAGTAGGCTTCTCGACAGATGGCACATTGTAGATACATCTAAAACATTAATTTCAAACATTAAGTACATTGCTCATGGTCTGCTATAGTTCTATTATATTTGGTTTGAGATTGTTTACGTTAAGTTAAAAAAAAAAACATTAATTTTTAGCACTTACCTATTTTAATATTTTAATTTAAGTTTTATTGCCTGTGTTATCATGTTCAGCATGTGATTTTACAATTCAGATTCTTTAAGCTCATATTACACGCATTTTGTCTTCAGTTGTGTGGATTTCTTGCAACGATGAATGTTGCTTATATAGCTGCATGGTTTAGTGAAGTTTTTGCTAGGACAATATGAGGTATTAAGGGGCTCTTTACATTCAACTATATTAAGTTGTAAGCTCTCAAATAATTACTAAACGTAGTACCAAGAAGATATAAAACTGATAGGGCTTTCTACTTACATTGTTGTAGAAGTTTTCACAGCTAGACTGCTCATTGAAGGTTTAACATCTAAGCGGAACTTTGCAAGACGGCACGTGGGGAATGACTGCTCACTTCTAGCGCTGTGAATGTAAAAATAAAGTGTCAGTTGTCATAATAGTTTCGTCAATACCAAAAATAAAGCATACTCCTTCCTAAGTAGATTTTTCATCATTATATAACAACTGAAGCTAGTTTTTTGTTAGTTCTATCCACTGCATAGATCGTCAAATCAAAATCAAAATATCTTTATTCACCATCTATACTTGATTAGTGTCAATATGTTATATTTAAAACGTTTGTGATATAAGCTTAAAATATAATCACACAAAATTTATATTAACAATATCGAAATACCGAACAAAACTTAAGTTACAAAGTTTAGTTTTAAGCATTCATGTTTTTCTTTACGATTTTTTTTCTTGCCAATTTAATAATTTTAAACTTTGTTAATGCGAATAAAGTGATTTTTTCATAGCCAATAATGCATTCACTAGTTATCTAGCCTAACAATAATGCGGAAATCATAGAATTACACATGGTAGAGAGATGGTTGTGTCTGCACTAGCAAACAGAGACAGCACTCAAGAGTTAGACACAAAGAACGAGCTTTAAAGTTGCTTAATCTATGCATATACTAAGCTACAGCTCTAAAGACAAAATCTACACTCATTTCTAAGCATGATTTATTTATTTATTTTTCTTATTTTGCTAGCTTAACTTATGACAAAAAAAAATGCGTATATGCAAGTTTTTCTAAAATAATCCTACATACTTGCTAAGTTCATAATACCTAATGATTTTTCTTTCTGGTAGATATTAATTCGTTTTTTTTTAGTACGTTTTCTTTCAAAACATTGTAGTATAGAAGTGTTCTTAATTTTTTCTATAGGGTATATAGGTTAAAAATCATTTATTAAGTAATAAAGACTAAATAGTGAACATATATATTTTAATAGATATATAGTTAAAAGAAATATTTATTGACTTTTATTTATGTACCTACATCCCTAGTCACTAGGGTACTTTATATTTAATAGCTAGTTATTTGAACAAGGAAGAACCCTTAACCCTTGGCTAGCGTCATGATTTGTCCAGTAAGAACAATATTAAATGCAAACACACACTAGCGGATTATTTATTTCTTTTTACACAAACTAGTTCTTGGTGACATTTGAAATAGAATGTTTGTATTGATTTGAGAGAAGAATATTTCAAATTGTATATAGTATTGATTAAGTGTATATTCAACATATAATCATGCGATAGCCAGAGATTGTATAATTAATCTATATTAATCGTATTATTAGAAGTTTATTTAGTCATATTTATTTATTGAATATATAATTGGTTTTTAAAGATCAACGTATTTCTAATCAAACAGATTTTTAGACATCTTTTAATATTCTAGCTACATACTTCACTTCAGATTTCTAATTTAACGAGCATTACCACGTTTTACAACACTCAGATTTGACATTAAATAATTGTAAATAATTTTGTAAGTTTTGAGTCTAGCTATTTAACGTTGCTCTTATGGTAAGGAGAGCAAGGAGTTATAGGAAAAGCTTAAATCTAATGGTCTTTTTAAAATCCTAGCAACTATATTGCAAACTACGCTATGTTTGTACTTACAACTATGGAGAAGATGTTCTGGCATCACACAAGCGTAGACGACTTCGACTGATGCACGTACTGGCCCAGACGCACAAACTGGCCGAGGTGCACGAGTTACTCACAATGCAAGCTGGAGTCGAATACAACTTTGCAGTGCCAATGGGCTGCTTTTATACAGTTTGTGTAAGGTCAGTGATTGTGGGGAGCCAGGATTGCTTATAAGCGGCATAAGCGTACATGGCTGCACAGTTCTCTGCACGCAACCGAACAGGTATGTCTCGTGTGCTTATGCATTAACTGTGAGAATAATCTTACTTATATGATCTTTTAGTTTGTATATGCTTATTTAGCTTACACTTTTCTACTACTACTATAGCTCCATAATTGTATTTTCTAAGAGTGCTAGTTGTATATTCTTATTTGTTGCTGTGCTGATATTTGTTTTGCGTTAATGCATAATGATGCATTACTCTCATACCCTCCACTTACTCAAGGTTTCCCCCCTTTGTCTGTCCCAATATGTGTTTTTCTCTACACTGCTGCGTTTGCTATACTGTCTTGGTACTGCCTACATGTTATACTGACTAATATTTCTACTACTTGTTATATGAAACGGTATTCCTGACACATGATACAAGATAACATTGATTACAATATATCCATATGTTGTAGTGTAACAGTTTTGCTACACATTTAGCTATTTAGAGCTATTTGTAATATGTATATAGTTGCGCTACGATAGACTGCTATGTGTATGGTATTACGCTCTACTAATCGATATATGCAGCGATATACTTGTTACAATCTGCAAACCTTACTTGTTGTATTTGTATATTCTAAGTGCAACGGTTTTTCTATACATTTAGCTGTTATTACTAAGCTGTTAAACGTTTTATATGTATCTAGTTGCCCTCCGTTGCGCTAATATTTCTATGATATTACACCTTGCGTTATATGCTGTGACATTCTTGTTTCACGCAACAATCTTCAATTGTACTATTTATGCTGTAGTGCTCCAGTTGTTTATGTATTGTCTATTAATGCTAAGCTAGTTAACTCGATAAATTTTCATTATATCAGTACTCGGCCTATAATATGGCATACTATTAGTACGACTTTTAAAACAGGATATTTTTTTTTTTATAGATCATAATCATGGCCCTAGCAGCAAAACTCAACACCCTGGAGAAAGGACCATACCTCCCTAGGATCGACGTTTCGGCGCTTACTAACAAAGAGGGCTACTCCATTGTGGCAGGGAGGGCAGTAAACACCAAATACAGAGCGTCCATCGTCCTAGACATCCATGTGCCAGAAAAGAGTGCCGACTTCTGTATATTCTTACCAAAGCGGTTCAGCGAGGCGTTGAGTTCAGATGAACTGAAGGAAATCGCTGAGAGCAAGGCATATCGGGTTCAATACTTGGGGATGAGCGGGAACTCTCCGAATATAAAAATTTGGAAACAATAAATGTTTGATATTTGCTCACTGAATACGTATTTAGTTTATTCAGTCCTTTTTTAGTCTTAAGTACTGTATGTAGATGTAGACATGTGTATTTTACGCAAGCGTTACTTAACTTAGTGTCAGCTCTCTAGGTCAGACAGGTTGCGCTGAGTTGCATTCATGACCTAGTGCGCCGAATTGAAAGTGAATTCACTTTCTACTGCAATCACTTGTACAGCCAGCCATGACATTCACCTCGCACTTATACTCGCAACAGCGGGCTGGTAATTACAGCTCTGCTGTAACCTCTACTTGTCTGCTAACCAATACTTACATACTTCTTATATATACAGTGCTTAGTGCCTACAGTCTACACAAACTAACATACAGTTTTAACCTGCACAAGTCGTCGTCGCTCGCTCGAGGACAAATCGTCCCCTGCCCACACTCGCATTCCCAACATCGCTGTCACTTTTATTCGCCGGAGAAAAAATCAGGCAACCCTATCTACTGTTATCTATCAGAACTTTTATTACTTGTTTGTATTAAATTACTATTGATTTTTTTTCTGCCTATACTCCTGTTAAGGAAAAAACAAGAAATAACAGTAAAACGAACCCTCTATTCTATTCAATACAACTATTCAATACAATTCTATTCCATTCTATTCAACGATGTAATTTTTATGTATACTCGTAAACAGTAATCTGTTTCACTACTCTATCCTAGCAAAATCTGTATCATATAAATTAGAACAGAATTAATTTACGTCAATTGAAAGCCTCTGGGGAGATTTACCAACAAAAAAGTGTAGAACGAAGTGAGGGGGTTCTTTGTTTATAACCAAAACATGTTTGTACTAAGATACTATACATCGTGTACAGACAAATTTTCCTAGTCATTAGAAACACTATTTGTGTGGATATCACATTACTATTCGTAATATATAAAGAGTCACATATGGCCCAAGACATGTTCTGGGAGTGGGGTAATTGTGTCTGGGCGATATACATCTCGAACTTATTTGTCCTTTGGGAAAAAAGTGTTTTATTGTTTTTAGTCTATTTCCTGTTGTTATAGCATTTTAAAATTAATCGTTTGTAAACTTCAAACCTCACACTTTATTGTCAAATTATATTTTGGGCAAGTCAAGAAGATATAATTATGACTTACTACTATATAACAGTTGATCAAGGATTGCTCACTTTTTTACGATTTGATCATCAAAGAGATTACATTAACAACAGTGGACATATTTTTATTTTACGAAGAATATTTAATGAGATATTGTTAGTTTTTAAAATTGTTTTTGTGTATTTAAATTTTTTTACCATGATCGTGTTGAACATATCACTTATAAACTCATAAAATAAAATTTAATATTTGTAGTTGTTTAATTTGATAAAAAGTAAAAAGTATTTTTTAACATTCAAGTTGTTTCTCTTTATTCTATAACTGTTTACAATCAATATCTTTGCTTAATTATTATTGATAACATATGTTAAACAAATTATTTTAAACAAAGACTTTTAAGTAAGTAATATACAAACATCTCCCTTTTTTAGCCGTCTTGACTGTCCTTCTTTTTTAACATAGATTTAATTTTTCTTATATGGTGTGTGTTTCTTCTTAAAACAATATTACTTTCTAATTTTACCAAATAAGAACGAGGTTCCGGCAATTTTTTAAAAATCACACCAGGATTCCAAAATTTGGTTTTAATATCCTGTACTAAAACCTCTTCTTCAACTTGGAATTCATCTTCTTTTTTCAAGGCTGATCTGTTAGGCCTATACATTTGTTCTTGATACCTTTTGCTTTCATTTATGCTTTCATGTACCTCAAAAGAAACTGTTTTAGGCTGTAAATAACTGTTTGGTATAGGTAGTTTTGATCTTATGTGTCTGCTGTTTAAAAGCTGAGAAGGTGAATAGTCCAGGTTTGCAACAGGTGAGTTTCTATAATTTAATAAGAAGAGTTCAAAATCCTGTTTACTTTCAGCACTCTTCTGTAACATTTTCTTTACAATTCCTACAGCCTTTTCTGCTAGTCCATTACTTTTTGGATAGTGAGGGCTTGATGTGATTATTGTAAAATTCCAATTTATAGAAAACTGTTTCATTTCATAGCTATTAAATGGTTGATTATCAGGCACTAAATACATAGGGATCCCATTTCGACTAAATAGCTCTTTGAATTTACCAATTATTGTATTACTGTTTTTACTGTTCAACTTAAATACATCAATCCAACGTGAATAAAAGTCAACAGTTACAAGATAGTATTTACCTGCATATTCAGCAATATCAGCTCCAATCTTGATGAAGGGTATTTGAGGAACACTGTGAACTTTTAAAGGTTCATTCAATTTTGAACGTTGGTGTTTCATACATATAGAACATTGAGATACTGTATTTCTTATGTCTGATGACATTCCTGGCCAGTAAAAAAATAAATTGGCAGTTTTCAATATTTTAGTTGTTTCCAGTAGTCTCATGCAGGTGTGACAGCATAAATTTCCTCAGTTTACTTGGTATTATAAGTTTGTCATTCAAATAGAGTAATCCATCTTGATGAGTTACATCATTTCTCATATTGAAATAAGTCTTTAGATCACCATCATTAACAGATTTTGGCCATTGGGTTTTACAAAATTGTACAACTTTGTTTAAAACATCATCATTTCTTGTTTCCTCTTTAAATTCCTCAAGTCTTCTATCACTAAACTTCACTTCAGAAGATTCAATACAATGCACAATACCATCTAAGGGTTCATGCCATTCAACCTCATCTTTAATACCATTCCGAGATAAAAAAATCTGCAATATGCATGTTTTTTCCTGGCAAATATTTTAGTTTAAAACTGTATATCATCAATTTAAGTCTGAGTCTTCTTATTCTGTTATTGAAAATTTTAAACAATGGCTTATTAAAAATTGACAACAGAGGTAAATGGTCAGTAAAAATTGTTACATTTTCATTTCCATATATATAGTTGTGGTATTTCTTGCACGAAAAACAAATAGCTAATAATTCTTTTTCAATTTGAGCATAATTAACTTCTGCTGTGGTCAGACTTCTAGAAAAGTAACTAACAGGCCTGCCATTTTGCATGCAACAACACCCTACAGAATCCTGTGAAGCATCACATTGTATTTCAATAGGAAGAGATGGATCAAAATTCCCTAAGACCTGATTACTACAGAGTGATTGTTTGATTTTTTCAAGAGCATTAGAATGATGTACATACCATTGCCAGGGAACATTCTTTTTTAGTAAATCTCTAAGAGGTGATGCTATTGAAGCCAAATTAGGGACGAAATTTCTGATGTAATTTACCATACCTAAAAATCTTTGTAATTCTACCTTAGATGTAGGCGTTTTAAAATTCTTTATTGCTTCTATTTTTGAAGGATTCGGTAGCATACCTTGTTCACTGAATATAGCACCAATATACTTTACCTTATTAACACAGTATTGCATTTTACTATAGTTAAATCTAATATTATACTGTTTTGCTCTTTCCATTACCTGCTTTATAATTTTATCATTTTCCTCTTTAGTATCAGTAGCAATGCACAAATCATCGAAATAGATTGAAAGACCTTTAA